GTTTTAATTTATCTTTGCTTATCTTATTCCAGTATACTTTAAGAGGCTGCGGGTGTGAATAACAAAACAGACCATCAACTGCATTTGTACAGTGATCTTGACACGTTTCACTCAATGCTGCAGTTGGGTTTTTCTTTTTGGCTTTCTATAAGCTCCCTGAGAAGCAAAACTGGAAAGTTTATAGACTTTTTAGACTTTTTCCTCCTGCAGACAATTGGCCAGGAAAATATTCATTCTCCTAAGGAAAGAAGGAAAACCTACCAAGAAGTTCGAAAACTGTAGCTGCTGTTTCAGAGACCAAACTGGGAGGGAGAGAATAACATAATGCGGCTCTCCACGGACTTTGCTGGGGCTAATTATTTTCCACTCAAGGCAATTATATTGATAAAATATCTGCGCTGGGTCTGACAGAATATCTGCTCATCAGCAAATTCACCTCTGTTGCCAACTCTGGATTCTTGCATTTGAAACCATGGTCTGCTTGATGTTTTTGCCTCAGTTTCTTCCATCTGTTGCTCTGCCTCTTGCTGTCACTCAAAATAATTGGGCTAATGAAAGGCAGGAACAAGAATGTATTACACCTTGGGCTTCAAAATAAACACTATTTGCTGGAACAGCCCTTCCCACCGCCATGCCACTGTAGAGCTTGACACTTCTTTTAAATACTAAATAAGGGTCTATTAAAAGTGAAATCATGAAGAAATATTTTTTATTTTTGTGCATATGTGCTACAGGAGCTGTTTGTACACCTTGTTAGGTAGGTTAAAGTTTAGGATATATTGCAGTATTTCAGATGGGCAATTAACACAACATCTATTGTGTTATTATAGTCAACCTCTAGATATTTTCCAAAGTAAATTAAAAAAAAAATCTCTCTTTCTCTTAAGACTTTCAGAAATGGATGATTTTAACTGAGATAACAAACATGAAAGCAAATCACCTTAACTTGAAACACCATTATTTAAACCCCCCTTGGGTGTAATGCTGTTCATTTTTGTGGGGCCAGATTCTTCAAAAGTCTTACAGATTTTTAGGTGATGTTTTTCCCTGCAAAATTTCTCCATAAACTACTCTACCAAAGTCTCTAAATATAACTTTGCTAATTTCTCTTCCTTTCTATCCCTATACCCCTAGGAATGGTCCAGCTTTGAGAGATTTTTAGTCCAGACTGCCACTTTTATATCTATTTTGTCTATATCTATTTTATAACAGAAGCAGCACTCAACAAATGATAGCTTTCTTCCAATATTCTCCAAAGCACCTACGGGCAGGATGTAATGGGTGGAAGATTACTAATAGGAGATTCAATCTGGAATTAAGGAGAAATTTCCTGACAGAACAATTAATCATAGGAACGGCTTGCCTCCAGATCTTGTGGGTGCTCCAACACAGGTTTTTAAGAAGAGATTGGATGGTCATTTGTCTAGAATGGTGATGGCTAACCTTTTTGGCACCAAGTGCCCAAAGTGTGCATGGAACCCCCCAAATACAATACGTGTGCGTCCCCATGCATGTGCCCCCCCCACGCATGTGCCCTGCCCCCATGCATGTGCCCTGTCCTGTGCATGCATCTTTGTCTCCCACATGAGCCCTGCGCATGCTCACGTGTTGTGCCCCATCCCACGCATGCGCCCCCCCACATGTGCAGCAGAGACAGCTGGCCGGCGGGATAAACATGCATGCATGCGCAGCAAAGCTGAGCTGGGGTGACATGGCCACAGAGAGGGTTCTGCGTGCCACGTCTGGCATGTGTGCCATAGGTTTGCCTTCCTGGGTATAGGCCCTCCTGCTAAGTAGAACTAGAAGATCTCCCAAGATCCCTTCCAATTCTGTTATATGATTCAAGTCAAAACTCCCACATTATTTAATGTGATGTAGTGTGCTTATTGTAGTGCACCCAATAAAACCATTTCACATGAACCTAAAACTTTTTAAATTCTTGCACTTTCTTTACATTTTCCCTCAAAAATATACCAATTGTTGAATCTCAATCCCTGAAGAGATGCTTTGGCTGCAAATTAGCACAAGTTGCCTTCTCTCTTCCATGTCAATCCCACAGTTTATTTCTTACCTTCAAGACAGAGGGAGGAAGCAGACACTTCATGGATTCTCAGAGAATGTGGTCTAAGCATCTAACATTTGAGGCCATTAGGCACAACACATTCTTCTTTGGTAAAGGAGAAGAAAAACTTTCCCCTATTCTTTGAGCACATGTGCAGAAGAATAAGCAATAAGTTGCTTACAAAAATTCTGTTGATTTGAATTAATATAACCATAGCACACATTTTTTCACCGTAATCTGAATCTGTTTTATGTGCATATGTATCATATTTTGGGGGCTATAAGATGCTCCCAAGTATAAGACACACCTAGTTTTGGGGGAGTAAAACAAGAAAAAAATAATCTGTCTCTGCCTCCCAGCAATTTGCCTCCTTGCAGCGAACAGGTGATTCAGCTTTAGCATAGCCTGATTTAGCACAAGCAGCTGATTGTCGGTTGGATCAGCCTCCTGATGATCAGCTGTTTCAGGCTTCAGGGATCTCCATCACCTATTGCTGCCTCCGCGTGCCCTATTTTCAGCCTTTGCACCCCATTTTTGGTCTCCGCGCACCCCATTTTTGGCCTGTTCCAGGCACCGGGGATCAGAATAGGCTGAAAATGAGATGCATAGAAGCCAAAAATGGGGCACGCAGAGGCGACAATAGGTGATGGTGATCCCTGCAGCCTGAAACAGCTGATTGTCGGGAGGTCGATCTAACCGACAATCAGCCGCTTGTGCTACATTAGGCTGTGCTGAAGCTGACTTCTTTCTGTTTGCTGCAAGGAGGCAAATTGCTCAGAGGCAGAGCCAAAGGGTGAGGGCCGGTGGTTGGGTGGTGCTTCAGCAACATTTGCTATATAAGATGCACAGACATTTCCACCCACTTTTTTTTGGAGGGGGGGAGTGCGTCTTATACATCGAAAAATAAGGTACATATTTCCAGCATGTATATAATAAAACAAATGGTTTGTGGTGGAATTTTAACAGCAAATATTATCATGACCTGCAAAAAAAAAAAAGGTCTTTTGTTTATCTAGAGCTTTGAAATAACATTGTAAAACCAATAGAGAGTTCTGGTATTATCCATATGCTTCTACAACACTAATTCCAGTGGAGTCTACAAGACTGAATCAGATAAGGCAAGAGAGCAATCCTGGCCTTACAACTGAAGTTTTGCCCTTTATATTGTATGTCATATTGATGAAGGTATAAAAGAGGGAAAGGCTTTGATTGAGATGGTGATGCCATCTTGCCTCTTTTGACTGTGCAGCTGATATCACTAATTTCTGTGACTGATTCCGAGAAAGAAATTGGAGAATGATCTGGAATTTTACTTCTGTTAGCTCCGAAACATGGAACACAAGGACCATGGACTGTTGATCAATCACTGTCTCACTGCAAGCAACCTAAGTTAGAAAACAGAATAGAGAAAAGGAATTTTCTAACTAATTCCACACAAAAAGGGGAAAAAATTAAAAACTCAAGGAGCCTGGTCCTTTGTAGGAAGGGTAATTGAAATTCCAGGGGGAAACTGATAGTCTTATAAATTTTGTTTCCACTCTGTAGCTTGGACTACTAAGGTAGAGATGCAAACTGTCCAGCCAGGTTTCCCTTTAAAGGACTTGCAAAGGGGAAACTGTAGAACCAGAAGTGGAGTGAGGGCAGAATGGTTTCCTATAGGAAAATATATCAATGTGCTGCAGAAAGAAATATAAGCTTGCTCAGTTTCAACTGTATCACAGCTAAGCTGGAAACAAATTTCCCACCTGGTTGATATTATCAAATCAGAGTTTTGTGCAGAAATACCCTCAATATTTGACCATATGATGAAAAAAGATTGAGCAGTAATCAACATGTAGTTGTTCTTACCCACAAAACAGTTATTTCCACTTCCATTTACCCAAATTAATTCCCCTGCATGGACTCAAGTGTCTGTTGTTTCAAATAAAATGGCAAATAGAAAACCTGGGTTGTGGCACCTTACACATTTTGGAAATATCTTCCTCAAACATTTCTATTACTATCAATCTTTCTCTTTTCCAATTAGGCAAAACACTTTTTATGATCTTAGATAGTTAAGCCTTTTAAGTTCTTTTAAATGTTATTTGAAGGTGGTTTTTTTAAAAAAACATTATTTATGTTGTGTCAATTATCCTAACAGTTATTTCAGTTGAAGGTATACTTTGGTTGAAGACCAACAGGTTCTTATACCTGAAACAGTTGCAGTTAACATTTGATGCTCTAGTCTAGAGTCTAGTTGAACCCTTAAAAACCGGATATATGATATCATAATTTCATCCACTTAACCAATAACAGAAAGCTGAATTTTGACATTGAGTGGTAATGCTGAATTTGGAATTTTGAGGGAAAGCTTCAACATAAACATCTGAATTATATGTGATGATAATATTGTGTTAAATCCTGGTCTTGATGAAAAAGGATTCATGTTTTGCTTTAAAAGGTGGGAATTTTAGAAAATGTGGGAAGTTGCCGAAAGAAGAAAGAAACTAAAAGTATTGTTATGCAAAGGGAAACTTACTTGCACAATGTTTGACTTCTGCTTAAAGACGTTAAAATGAATAGATGAGCTAAACTGAAATTATAATAATAAATATTTTGATAATGCAATTTTCAGAATACTGTAACATCCTATTAAATGCTGTGGGTTTTACTTCTCAGGACTGCAGTCTAATTTGAATTGATTGGAGCTTATCCAGTGTCTGCTGACCTCAACAACTGATCTCATGTTGTTGTCATTCTTAGTTAATCTCTGTAGACAGCATGGAGATTTGAGTTTTAACTTTTTGCTGTACTTGCACAAGTCTGGACTGGAACTTCTTTGTCTTCTACCTGGTAAAATAATATCAAGAAACTGCAGTACTAATCCCCGGAAATAGTTTATGCAGGAATTTTTATTCTCTTAAATCTTCCAGTGTTAAAGCAACAAGAAAACATTTAGAATGTCCTTTGGTGGTATCTTATTACACTTGATATAATATGTAAACTGATATTCTTTGATGCCAGCACGTTGCCCATACAGAGAAATCTCTGCACAATTAAATGAAGTTTAAAAAAAAGGAAGAAAAAAAAGAACAAATTAAAAATCATCTCTTCCCTTCCCCCCCCATCTGATTAGGATTAAAGTACATTACTCAATTGTTAACACAAATTGGCAATAATACAAAAAATCTACGCTTTACGTTAGTCAAGAAAAATAACTTCATTTGATTACAAAAGGATAAATATACTTTCTTTTTGTCCTACTGCCACTCTTGTACAATAGGGGAGCACTGCGTCAACAGGGCACAGTGCTTCTAAGATATACAAGGATATGACCGGCTTGAGATTTATTGAGTTGGGGCTGGTACACATGTGCATTACTAACATCAGACAAAGAGATCGTTCAACCAACAAAAGGTTACAGAGCAACGTTCACTAAAGCACAGTTGGAAAGAGGAATTAAGGGGCTGAAGCAGGCCAATATGGCAGCTTTGAAACAGATTTCCTTATACCCACAATGCACTGACAGCAAAGAATGCCTCTATTTGGTTGGTCCACACACTGGGAAGAGGTACGGTGGCGCACCAGTTTGAAAGAGCAAGGATTTTTTTGTGGCTTTTTTTTTTGTCATTTCTGTCTTGGATTTCCATTGGGTGGGGGTGGCTACCCAAGCCTTTTTGAACCTGTGTAAGTGCCCGGAGCAGCTGTTGCTGTGTTGAGTAGTTGTAGTAGTATTGGCAGCTGCCTCACTTAAGCTTGAGCCAAGAAGTAACAGTCTTGGTTGGATCAGGCTGTCCACAAGGTATATATATGGCTTAGTTCAAGTCAGGCCTTTTCTTTAGTCTATATATGTGTGAAAATTGTATAATTTCCCCCCCCTTATTTTGAAAATTCTTATTTGCATCTGGTTCTTTCTTTCTTTCTTTCTTTTCTGGACACCTTCCTCTCAAAGCAGTCTGAAGCCGATGTCTCCCAAGCTGCGTAGCTTAAAATATAAAAAGCCCACTCAATCCCAATGGAGCAATTGGTGGTAGTAGAAGTAGCAGGATTTGTATTGATATTGCCCCTTGGCCTGAACTTTCGCTGCAGCCATCTGGATCCACATCACAACTCCGCTTCTCACACAGTACACCAGTATAGCCTTCCGGACACTGGCAGCGTATATTGTTGTGGCATGTCCCTCCATTCTGGCAAATTTGAAGTTCATTGTCACATATGTTTGCTGTAAGTTGGAGTGGGAAAGAAAGAAAAGTATAATCAACATAAGACAACTAGTTAAGGAACACAACGACAAAGTGAAAAGCACTGGCTGTTTTCCTTGAAAGATATTTTAAGAAAGAGGAGTATTAGCAGTACCATTAGTGTGCCCATCAGTAATACATACTAAGGATCCTAACATGGCAACTATTAATTCTACTTTTGGACTCTTACTACCAAGGATGACACAAGTGCTCCTGTGATTTTTCTCTCTCCCCCTAATAACCAATTTAAATACTGTGCAGCTCAACTTGGAGCATCTTGATATGTGTGAGATCATATGTGGTGCCTCAGATCGCAATTCATTTCTACGAAAAGTAGAGGCATAAATAAAATAAATCTCCCTTTGAACCATTTAAAGCAGCCATGTGTTTCCAAAGACACAGGTGGTTGCTCTGAAAGCATTCTGGCTTTTATGCAGCCACCCACTTTGGCACACTGGGATGAATGTTTCAGCTTTCAAAGCATCCATATGGGGCTTGTAAAAGATATGGTGGATTTCATGAGTTGAAGAGAAGTGTTTTGTGGCAACTTTGGGAAGCAGTTTGTCTGAATGCTCTACACAAGCCAATCTATGCCACTGGAAGCACAGGTGTCATTATGGGAAAAAGGCCGTTTGTTTGCTTGGATACTCTTGCATACACTGATGATGTCAGACAGGGAAGCCATGATGGTTCCTAAATGGAAAATCGTTTTGACGGAAAGACTTGGCCCTTGTGAATAGTAGCAAATGGATACATTGAAACATCTAATTCTTTAGCCAAGCTGTGCATTTGGACAGTTCAGTCTTGCTAGGATCATTTTACTTTATGCTATAGCTGGCAAATTCCAAATCTCAACATTTTCCTTTTGTCAAGAGCTACCGATGAAAAGTAGAAAGTCAGACAGAACTGTATCTATCCTTCTCCCCGACTTGCCAATTTTCCAGCTATGGAATGTTAACAGTTATCCTTTGAACTGTTACAGCTTTGGAAAGTTGTATTAAAACTATTTCTGATGGTCTTGGCAAGCTTTAAGAACTATCTGGGATGCTCAGAAACTATACCATCAATTTCATAAAAAAGTATCTTTTTTAACACAATCAAAATCAGGTAATTAAGTAATCTTGGGTTCTTGTACGTAGGCCTGTGCTTTCAGTATTGTGCTTATTGATACAGTGTTTGAATCCTTTTGGATTGATATCTTTTTTAATGCATTATAGGATTAATTTGGTCAGGATCCAAGTAATTCTGTACCTCTAAGGAGTGCATATGAAGGTACTGCTTCTAATTCTTTAGCCAAGGTCAAGCAGTTAGAATCAACAATGCCTCTCTATGCCATGATTATTACATTCCCCATTAAAGCCAATATTTGCAGCAAGGAGCACAGAAATCAAACCCATAAAAATGCAGCATCCTGCTGCTGAGAATAAATGAGAAATGAATCCTTCACACAGAGAAGATTTTACGTGTGATAAAATAAGCTAAAAGCATGAAGTGCAGCAAAGAAAGCATGTGTCCTGATGAAGACTGGTGCAACCAAATATAAAAAGAAAATAGCAAAGCTTTTTTCATAGATCACCTCTACATCTACAAATGTAGATAACAAATCAGAAACACAAAATTTTTATTAACCACGATTTATAGCAGATAGAAATTATCATTCATATAGGTTGACCTCTTAATATTCTTCCTTCCTTGTATTCCACCCACCTTTATACACCTTCTGTCGGTCTCATCTAACTTTTTAAAGACACTGATAAGTTGGACTATACAAGCAATCCTGTGTTCACTGGCTTTTCTTCTCAAGGAGTGGATCTAACTCCCGTTACAAATCCCTCCTGAAAGACCTTGGCTAGTTCTTGCAATCTCTTGAAAGAGCTAGCACTGGGCAAAATAGAACAATAGGTAGGTAGATTCCCATGCACTTCCCAGAAAAAAGTCCCAAATTACTTTAGTTTTATTGAGTTTGGCAGAAATAATTTTTATTTGTTTCCACCAAGCTCCACACGCTTCAAAAATTAGGTCAAAATTGAAGCTTGTTCAATTTTAATATTTCCAATTTTCCACTGAAGTTTGTGGTGATTAGGTCTTCCTTAGAAATGCATTATTTTGGTCATAGAGTGGCTTGTAGAATTGGAGCTCTGGCCAGCTCCAGATGCTCTGAAGAAGCTCCTTTTTCTGGAAGGTGTCCAACACAACTGGGATGATCACACAATTTTTCCACTCCTTACTAATCTGCTATTCACCACATTCCTAAGGAAGTATATACCCTTTCCACTTTTAATGGCAATTCCTGAAGAGCTGACAGCTTTATCCTGAGTCATATTGAAAGTAAAAGAGATTGCACAACAGCAGTGCTTGAATGCTCTGGCAGTTGCTTAGAAAAGTGTCTTAGTTGTCTGATGTTGCACTGACTTCTAATTTTCTGCATGCGAATGAGTTGAATAATGATGCCCTTCTACTTCCTCTCCAGTATGCCGTGCCATAATTAATATGAGGGCAACCACCAGGCATCGCTGAAACATGTTCCTTCTTCATCACCTTTCTCTGTGATTCTTTTTATGGTGCCAATGTATTTTTTATGACCCATTGACACGACCACTGAATTGTATCTAGCATTTCGGATCTGCAAATGTCACAACTGCATATTAAGTTATGATAAATGCTGCTCGCTCAGAAAATTGGGCTGATGACTGCCATATGCCTGCATTTTAAGGCAGCACCTACAATGTGCTTAATTGGGCAAATTTATATTGCAAGTATCAGCCAAGGAGTAAAATACGCCATAAACAAATCTGACGAGGTTTCAAGTCTGATAAGTTATGGCAAAAGCGTTAGAAGGAACAAATGTATAAGAAGAAATCAGGCATGGATATTAATTATCTGCGAATCTCTACCTCCATTCACATAAACATGTGTATTATTTGATTACTCATAATTTGATGATTAGCACCCAGTGCTGTATCAACTAATTTTGGAAGAAAGCTGCATTGAATCCAATAATATTTGCATTTTGATAACTGCACTTAGTACCGCAGCCTTAATAGATTGCCTGCTCTGATCTGACTTTATTTTTCTTGTGATATGAGAACTACATTCAGAAAGCACAGAAAACCCTTCTCTTTGAGTAGCTATTAAGTAATTTTGAAGACATGCTTCTGTGGCTTAATAACTGAAATTTCCATTTAAAGCTGCAGTCTGATTAATCATTATTATTCTTCATAATAAACTCCTAAGTAAGTGTATAAAAGACTGCGCTGCGGTATTCTGATTCATGTTCTGGATGTCTGATTTACAGCTGAGTGTTCATTTCATACGTCTTGAGCCTAAGAGAGGTTTTCCAAAATATGTAGCTTAAAGGGAAGAGAACAGGTTTGAAAATAGCAACCATATCTGTATTGTAAATATTGGTTATTCCTGGCTTTAAATAATTAATGATAAACCAACAGCTAATTAAATACTTTTAACTCCAGATGTGATCTTATTTATCTTTGGATCTGGAATGCAAATTGGGATATTTTCACATTTGCCAGTTTATATACGTATTAAATTTAGTTTCACCTTATTTTTATTTGTAAAACTTTTGATTTCTATGCCTATGGACTCAAAGGCATTCTCTACCATACATTAATGTAGCACTTTATCAAAATATAACGTAAGCACCTTAATCATTCATGCCAATACATTTGACTTTCAATAAGGGCAAAATAATTGAAATAGAAACTATCTCAAAGATAAGATCATCATAGAAGTATCAATGGCAGCCTAATCCAGTGTATGATATGCAATTAAGTTTAAGTTATATGTACTAATTGCAGTGTTACTTTAATGCAACATATCTACATCACTCTGATAACTGTAGATTTGTTTTTACTGAGATGTATTAAGGGAACTTTCTATTTTTATTTTTCATTATAGCTGAAAAGCATAAACATAGATGCTAATTATATCCACTTTTTTACAAAAACATTAATATTAAATCCTAGCAGTCTAGGCAGTTTCTTAAATTTCTACCCAGTCTGAAAATTTACCGATGTCATAGAAACATACACGTCTCCCTAAACCTCTAGGGGATAGCATAGCTATAAAAGCAAGAAAACACTTTTCTTTCCTATCAGCTAGCTGAACTTAATGCATTTTATGCCTTTTTTTAATCAGTTATTTACATTTTGGATGGAAGGTTCTACTATTTTGAAAAGGAAATGTCAGTGTGGAAATATAAACAATATATTTTAGTTCTAGTTTTACCTTTGATGTTTGAATGAAAGTCATCAATTAAAAAAAAGCATCTCACAATTATTATTCAATGGAAAAAATATCGTCGTGATTAAAAGAAACAGACTTTCTCACTAAAAAAACCAGAAAAAAATGAAATAGAAATAAAAAGAAGTACAAAGCTATCTTGAATTTAAATGCCACAGCTGGAAGTGATTATTAATTCCAAACCAACACCTTCTTTTTGATAGCTTACCTTGATATAGAAAGATAATAAGTCTGGCAATGCAAGAAACCTCTCATTAGCAATCGCATTAGGCAGAAATATTACTTGGAGATTTCCATCTTTGTGGAAGTGAGAACTTGCTATTGAACAATTTGATCTGTTGGCTATCTTTGATTAGATTAGAATTGATCAAACAAAAGTGAGACTGAAATCTTGCCAGATCACATATGAGAATAGATGAACATACTCATAGATGATAACTAACATTATCCCAGAATGGCCATCAATTAGATCTGGACCAGATCAGTCCATATCTCCATTGCATATCTGTGTTCCAAAATAATTGCAGTTAATTTCTGATTATAAATTGTTTTAGAAAGAAACTCGAATCAAGGTTCCTGTTTACTGACAAAACATTTTGATATGTACTGTTAAAGGTTTGTTCATGGTTATTTATTTTTTTTGCTTTGCTTTTTAAAACAGGTAATTGCTATTCAAGGGGTTTCTGCTGTGTAAATTCAAAATCCCTGAAAGGAACGGTGC